CCTGGCCTCTCTCCCCCGTCTCGATGCATCTGCCCCAACCCCAGCCAAAGGGAACTCGCCCTCACTCGACAACCACGCCCCCAGAGCTGAACTTGGCCTGAGCAAAGCCAAACTACGCTTGCTGTTCTCAATTCAAAGGCAGGACCGCCAACCTCAGCCAGGCTCTCAGGCTGCCTGGCAACCATTCTGTATGCGGAATCTTCAAAAAAGTTCATGGAAAATGCATATTATAAAAAAGCTGCATGGGTTTCAACATTTTTTTTTTTGCACCAAAAGAAACTTCTTTTAATTCCGTTTTCTGTGAACTTTTTGAAATGCCCTCACATTTCTCTATACTCTGTTCTCTCTCCCAGTCTTCTGCTTCATTTCTTCCCTCTCATCTCGCCTCAACCTCAGGGTTTCCTCCCCTACCTGGCTCTCTCTGGTCTAAAGTCACTGCAAATGAGGTCCGCCACATGCAGAGACCCTGCACACGCTCTAGCCTTGACCCATGCCAGGGCCAGGTCCCTCCGTCGCCTCCCAGCGCTGGGCAAGAACTACCTGCTCTGCTGTAGCCCTGCCTCCCTGCAGGTGCACCTGGCCACTCTTTCTCCCATCTGCTCAGAGACAGCCCCTTCACAACTCTCTCTTCCTCTCCTGTACCATCAGCTTCGCCCTCTCTCCTGGAATGGTCCCAACGGCAACAAACACACACTGTTTTTCCGTGAATATTAACAAAAAAAATAAATAAAATCTCTCTGGGCTCTGCTGTCTCCTGCAGCGTCTGTTCTGTGTCTCCGCTGCCTTCCTCAGTGCCGCCCCTCTACGGAGCCTGCCCTGCTGTCCTCTCCCCGCTGTCTGTCGGTGGTTAAGCATTGCTCCAAACCACGGCCTTTGCCTTTGTCACCATCCCCAATCATCAGTTCCCTTCTTCTCCCGTCTGACCCCTCGGCAGGGCTTCCAGCAGACAACCAACCCCCTGCGGCATTTCCCCTCCCCTTTCTGGTTGCTGCCCCCCTAGTTTCTTTTGCTCTTTTCCTGGCTTCTGCCCAGCCCTTACCCATGGCAGGACCTCAATCTTCAGCTCTCCAACTTCTCTCCTCCATCAACAACCCCTCTCTCCTCTGATGTGAAGGCTCCCGTAAGAACCATCTCAACACCACCAACTCCCAAAGTCATAGCAGCAGCTTGGAAATCTCCCAGGGACTCCAGACCTGAGCGCGCGCATCCAGGGGTCACTAGCTAGCTACATGTGGCTGTTTTGTGCCACAACTCCAGCCAAGGGCAGTGACCTCACGGCCAGGCATCTAACGCAGCACAGCGAGGCTGCCTGGTGGGTCTGCCGCGACAAAGGGCCGTTCAGGATCGGTTAATTTCTTAAACTGCAGCCCTGGGCAGGCGACAAGGAGGAAACGTTCCTACCCAATTACAATTATTCATGAGCCTGTTCCAGGCCCTGCCTTTCTTTTGTCTGCCAGGGACTCTGACGGAAACAGCCCGGTGAGGAGGCACAGCGTAAGGCGAGAGCAATTATCGTTTTGCCGTGACTTCCTCCATGAACTCTTAATTAATTCCAGCCCCATATTTTTGGTCTGCTTTCGGAACCCCGTGCTTGCAGGAGCTCTGCCCCTCTCCCTCCTCGTCTCCTGGTTTCCTCGCCCACACTCTTCCCAGTCCCCCCTTGCCCATCCCAACCTGGCCCCCGCCTCAGCCTCTCTCCACCTGCCCTGCTCTTTCTTCTCCTTTGCCACCTTTGAAAGCTGAAAGCAGCAACCTGACAGACACCGTTAGGGTTCTCTCCCTGCCTGCCTGCGCGGCAGCCCGGCCCTCTCCTCCCCTCTTCCGCGGCGAGTGCTGGGTTGCCATGGCAACAGCGAATCCAACCAGGCTGGTCCAGGCGACGCTAGGAACTGCCATGGCGAGGCAGCGGCTCCGAGTCGCCCCTCAGCCTAGGTGGCTGGTGAGCATCATCATTCAGGAGCAGGCTGGGCAGGTCCTGCCCGGGGATGGCGACAGCACCCCCAGGCCCCCAGCTGTAGGGTGCAGGAGGCGACAACGCCCCCAATCATGAGGCTTCCGGGGAGCGAACAGAATGCATGACGTGATGAGGGTTCATTTGAAAATTTGCAAACATCCCTATTCTTTTATCTTCCCTGAGAGAACCGTTTTGACTCTCTGGAGTCTTAGGGAACTCTCTAGAAAGCCAAAACCAATCTAATCTACCTGCTCTGACTTAGGCCCCGTGATGCTGCATCCCTACCTGTTCCCCCCCCCTCCACCATGTCACCCCCAGGTTGCACAGCCCCTGAGTGGCCCAGGTCAAACGACTGAGTAACATGGACACGGCTAGAAGCATCTTCGAGAATTAATTAGGACTACGCGGTGATATTTCTGTCCTGGGAGAAACCGGTTCCTGCGGGTCATTGGAACAGATCTTTAAAAGTAGGGCAACAAGTGTTGCGGCGCGCGCTGCTTCCCCAGGACGTGCGGTGGAGAGAGAGAGAATTCAGGAAATACCTTTGCTGTGAGAGGCACCAGCCGCAGTGAGGGTCTGCTGCTGCCAGGCACGCAGAGCAGGACTTCCGCTTGCTGCAGTTCGCGACAGGAATTCTCCTGACCTGAAAATCAAGAGCACAGTAGCTGGGAAGGAATTCTAACCACCAGGAACACGACAGCGCCTTCTCTGAGGAAAGGCCATAGGAACTCATTTGTCAACTTGACCTTTGAATGTCTTCGGCAGGGCAGGTCTCAGGTTCTTGGGTATGAAGTGGTTGTATCAGAATCACCTGGGGAGCTTTTAAAAGTGCATGCAGGAGCCCGCGCCGTGGCTCACTTGGTCAATCCTCCGCTTTGTGGCACCCGCACCCCGTGTGGGTGCCGGGTTCTAGTCCCAGTTGCTCCTCTTCCAGTCAGCTCTCTGCTGTGGCCCGGGAGGGCAGTGGAGGATGGCCCAAGTGCTTGGGCCCTGCACCCACATGGGAGACCAGGAGGAAGCACCTGGCTCCTGGCTTCGGATCAGCACAGTGCTAGCTGTAGCGGCCAGTTGGGGAGTGAACCAACAGAAGGAAGACCTTTCTCTCTGTCTCTCTCTCACTGTTTGTAACTCTACCTGACAAATTAAAAAAAAAAGGGCATACAGAGGGCCCAGCGCTGGGGGGTAGTGGGTTAGGCCACAGCTTGTGACACCAGCATCCCATACCCGAGCCCTGGCTCAAGTCCCAGCTGTGCCACTTCTGATCCAGCTCCCTGCTGAAGCGCCTGGGAGGGCAGCAGAAGACGGCCCATGCCCTTGGGCCCCTGCACCCACATGGCAGTTCTGGGCTCCTGGCTTTGGCCTGGTCCAATCCTGGCTGTTGCTGCCATTTGGGGAAGGAACCAATGGATAAAAGAGTGCTTTCTCTACCTCTCCCTCTCTGTCACTCTGCTTTTCAAATAAATTAATAAATCTAAAAAAATAGGACCTACAATCAACCCTTTCTCCAAGGGTTCTATGGACTCAGCCAAATGCAGAAACTATTCAGAAAAAAAAAATTGAGTCTCTACTGAACATGTACATTTTTCTCATCACAATTCCCTAAACAATATAAAACCATGTTACATGGCACTTAACACAGTATTAGGCGTTATAAATAATCTAGAGGCTACTTAAAGAACAGGGGAGGATATGCATTGCTTATAGGGAAACTCAATGCCATTTAATCTGAGGGATATGAGCACCGAGGAGTTTGGCTTCAGGGGACAGTCCTGTAGCCACTTCATCACGGACACTCAGGGAGGCGTGCAATCCATACCCCTCCTGCTGACTCACTCACTCACTTGGCCTGGAGTGGAGTTTGAGAAGCTGTGCAGTCAGACTTGTCGATCTACACATGATGATTTCCATAGGGATCAGGGGATCGGGTCACGTGGGAGGATTCAGAGATAGGCAGTAAGTGGTCAGCGGCATCACGGAAATGGACATTTGGCAATAGCCAAAGTTTCTGCCCCAGGGGCGCCAGCATGAGGCAGGCACCAGATATGAAAATGAGGGGGCGGGGGGTCAGGTCTCCCAGCCAGTGAGGGGTGGCTCCATCACCACAGCTCCTCCACTTGGGTCGGAGAGAAAAGAAACAGCCCATAGAGCTTCCAGCTGTTGGGAGACAGCAGCCCAGGAAGCGGGCTCTGGTGCTGGGCCAGGTCCGTCAGCGGTGGCAATGGTTCAGAGCTCGGAGCAGGGTAGTAGGAGGCAGACAGTGTGTCCCCCACGGTGCATTTTCTGCAGGCAAAATCACACAGCAGGGGCAGGCGGACGTGGGACACTTTCTGTGCTAGGGAGTGGTACATGCTAGAAAGTGACCTCTGAGAAAGACCAGAGATGTGGAAAGTTCTAGAATGCCCTGGGGCAGGCCTGCTGGTTCTAAGGTGACTTCCTGGGAGGATGATGGTGCCTTTCCATGTCATAGTCCCTGCCACTGAGTCTGCCGAGCCGGAATGATCAGAATGTGGGTATTGCCCTGTGTTCCGTAACACGCCTTTTTAATTCTGAGGGGTTCTCAGTGAGTGTCACGTGATCTCTCTAACCTTGCTTCCTCATAGGTAGGACGGTGATGACGGGCACGCCGACACTGTGGGGTCATCACGTAAGAACACCATCGGACATGTACCGACAGCTGACTCGATAGCGGCTCCTGCTGTGGTGTGACATAAGGATTCCAGGGTCCAGCAAACGTGAAACCTTGGGCTGAAAAAGCGCAGCAGGTTTCCGTAGCACAAGGCTTCCACGTGCTTTTGACCATGTCGAGTACCACCCAGGAGTGGCCGAGGAACAATCGCTCTTCCAGTAGACTGTGATTCTCCAGAACATTCTTTGAGAACTACTGCCCAGCGCATTTAAACATACGAGCATAACGATGTGAGAAAGAGGACACTATAAATACTTCATTGGACTTGCTCTCTAATAGCACGCTATAGAGGCTGTGCCGCCTCACTGCATATATCTCCATGTGATTATTTTTAATGGTCACATCCACTCCCTGATGGATATCCTGTGGCTTATTAATTTGGCTACTACTCCCTCCCCAGGGGTCTAGAAAAGGCCCTTTGTTGGGTTTTTATCTCTCTAGGGGTTATATTTGCTCAACCAGAGTCAACTAATAGGCTTTGTGGTTGGTAATCTTAAACCAAGAAGGTAGCTATCTCCCCCCCCCCGCCCACCCAGCTGAAAACTCCCAGCCAAGGACTTCAGGCTTTGTTTTTGTTTTTTTAATTAGACAGGCATAGTTAGACAGTGAGAGACAGAGACAGAGAGAAAGGTCTTCCTTCCATTGGTTCACCCCCGAAATGGCTGCTACGGCCGGAACTGCACCGATCCGAAGGCAGGAGCCAGGTGCTTCTCCTGGTCTCCCCATGTGGGTGCAGGTGCCCAAGCACTTGGGCCATCCTCCACTGCCCTCCTGGGCCACAACAGAGAGCTGGACTGGAAGAGGAGCAACTGGGACTAGAACCCGGCGCCCATATGGGATACCAGCGCCGCAGGCGGAGGATTAACCAAGTGAGCCACAGCGCCAGCCCAGGACTTCTGGCTTTGAACAACCTGAGACCACAACCTTCCCCCTCCAGGAGGTAAGGGCCTGTCAACTGTTGGTGGTCTTCACTGTGGCTCCCAGCCTAGAGTCCTGGCTGCCTCCAGGATAGTAATGGGGAGTTCGGAGCTATTTGCAACATTTCACAAAACTGAATGGAAAAACACACACAGATTAAGCAAGCCTTCAAGTATCTGGGGCCTTGGGGGCTGGAATTTTATCAGCTCCATGTGGCTGCACAGTCAGTACTCTGACTGGCAGTTTTGAGATGTCCTTGATAAATAAAGCCTGGGAATGGGAATTGTTACTTAATAATGCAGTTTGTTGAGTAGACAGAAAAAGAGAAATCTTTCAAATCTGAGATCCCCAGGGAAGAAACATAAGAGAAGGCGGATGGGGAAGCAAGCTGGCACAGGGAGTCAGCGTGGTGAAGAATGTCTACAAAGCCCTGGGAGAGTCTAAGCTGCCCATCTCAAGGTGGTCGTTTTGAGAAAACTGACTTTTCAGCGGGTACAGAGCAAGATGGCTTCTTAAGAATACCAGAAACGACACACCTGCGCTGTGACCCTAAAAACACGCGGGGCTCACTGGCGTGGCTTCGCTCCTAAGAAAGCCGGCAGGAAAAATGCAAAATGGCAGTCGGCGGGGGGCACCTACTCCATCCGTTATATGACTATCTACATTGCAATGAGTCTTCTTGGCATTTTAGATTTCAAACCCTGTTGGCTCAAAACTACCAAGCCCAAGAATGTCCCGTTTCATCTCACAAATGTGGGATCCGGGCTCATTGACCACAGGCCCTGGGATCAGGGCAGAGTTTGCGTCCCACCCCTGACGAAGGCTGATGTACGTGTATTTCTTCCAGCAAGCTATTTAACTTCTCCAAGTCTTAGATTTTTCCTACGTAAGACAAACACAACTGCCTCTTATTTAGTTATTAAAACACTTGATAAAGCAGTCTCTTACGCTTAGGTACATGTGTTATATGTGCGTGTGTGTGTGCATAAACACACAACTCTATGCATCTAGGAAGGCCACACAAATGACAGCATAGTGCCAGTAGGGGCCCCGCACAAATCAGTGGCCCTTCCTTTCCCCTTTGTGAAGACGAAGACATCGTGAAAAGATACTGTTTTTATTTCAGTCAGCAGAATCGAGAAGGAAAACTAAAATGGCCAAATAAATTAAGTGAGGGCAGGCCAGCGCCATATATTCCGTGCTTCATGAATGTGTATGAGACTGTGGCCTGATATTAACCCCAAATTCCAAAGCCAGTCCCGTTGGGTATATTCATAAATGCATTCTAACCGTTCAGTGCCCACACAATAAATGTAAATTCAGTTACCTTGCTGATTACGCGTCTGTTTGCAAGCACACCCTCCTCTGGAAAATTCGGCACTGGAAATATAGCCAATAATAAAATTGTCTAAATAGGTAATATTTCTCGCTTACTTACTGACAGTCAGTGAGGTTTTTAATTCCACGTCTGTGAACCACTGTGAGTCTTCTCGAAGCCTGCAGCTGTGTTTAAACTCAGTAGTTCAAAGTAAAAGCTTCTCTACTAGATAATGACATCAATTAAACAATTTTTATTCATAAGTCAGAAGCAATAACTAAGATTGCTACCTACCTCTTTCCCGGCTGTTAGATAGATGAACACATTCTTCACGGGATCGGGAACAAGTTTGTAGAAAACAGGAGTTTCTTCTTTAATTTCATAGATAACTTCTGGACAATTTGAAGTCAAATTCTCACCAAGAACAACCTACTCAAAAAAAAAAAAAAAAAAAAGAGAGAGAGAGAGAGGGGAGGGGGAGAGAGAGGTATGATTTCTATTACAGTCTGAATGGCAGGGTGTCCAAGCTCGCAGCTCTATTGCCAAGCCATCCTGGGACACAGACTGGCTGAGGAACCGTGTTCCATCATCACCCACTCACATCTCAGTCCTCCACATGGCTGATGACAACAGCAGAGCACCTGTGCTTCTGATAGGGACAAAACACCCAAACCCAGCAACAACAAGAAGCCACTCTTGGGAGCGGACACTTGGTTCAGCAGTTTAAGCTGCTGTTGGGTGCCTACTTCCCATACCCACTGCTTCTGTGAGTCTGGGCTTCTTTTTTTTTTTTTTTTTTTTTTTTTTTATTTATTTTTGACAGGCAGAGTGGACAGTGAGAGAGAGAGACAGAGAGAAAGGTCTTCCTTTGCCATTGGTTCACCCTCCAATGGCCGCCGCGGCCGGCGCGCTGCGGCCGGCGCACCGCGCTGATCCGATGACAGGAGCCAGGAGCCAGGTGCTTTTCCTGGTCTCCCATGGGGTGCAGGGCCCAAGCACCTGGGCCATCCTCCACTGCACTCCCTGGCCACAGCAGAGAGCTGGCCTGGAAGAGGGGCAACCGGGACAGAATCCGGCGCCCCGACCAGGACTAGAACCTGGTGTGCCGGCGCCGCTAGGCGGAGGATTAGCCTAGTGAGCCGCGGCGCCGGCCATGAGTCTGGGCTTCTGAGCCAGCTTCCCGCTACAGTGCATCCTGGGGGGCAGAAGAGGATGACCTGGGTCCCTGCCACCCACTTGGGAGAGCTGGATGGAGTTCTGGGCTCCTGGCTTTGGCTGCTGTGGGCAGTTGGGGAGTGAACCAGCAGATGACGCTCTTTTTCTGTCTCCATCTGTGCCTTTCAAATAAAGTGAAAACAAATTATTTAGCCCCAAGTGACAGCTTTGCTAGGACTGTGCCAACAGTGACCTTGAAACTAAAAGAAGTAGCTCCCAACACAGATGTGCACAAGTTACCCTGATTTTCCTACAAGATTCTACATAACCGTGCAATGTCAAGTAACCCAGACAACTTACAGGTATAGACAAGTATTTACGTGTTTACGTGTGAAAATGTACAAGCAAGCATGACAATATCCAGCGGCTTTGAAACTGGGCATATCTGAGCTTCGTCATCTTCAGTCAAGGAGCATCTGGTAAATATTCATTATGGATCAGGCACTGTTCCGGGTGTATGAAGAATGACAATGAACAGAATGGGGGGGGGGGCAGAAATTCTACCTGTGTAGAACTTACATGTGTGTGTGTGTGTGTGTGTGTGTGCAGGGGGAGTAGTGGCAGGCAACTAAAACTACAGAAGGGTAAACTGAGCAATTCTGCAGAAGGTGATGAGTGGATCAGGACCCAGGGAAGCGGGGTGAGGAGCTGGAGAGGGCATGGTGCAGGCAGGCGGCGCCGGAAGAGGACATTTATTTGGAAACCTGCAGGAGGGAGCTAGGGGCCTTGACAGCACATGATCTTCAAGGAGGCCCTGCCAGTACAGAGGCCGTGAAATAGAAGGAGGCCAGTGTGGGTGGAGAGGTGGGCAGTGTGATACTAGGGGCAGACAACATAGGACCTCATAGGTCTGTGCAAAGATTTGGTCTTCGACTCCAAGTGAGAAAGAGGGGCGGCTGCAAGGCTTTGAGTAAGGAGTAAGGTGGTGAGAAGACAGAGACTGAGACGTGGGCATGAAGACTGGGTGGGACACTATTACCATAAGCTAGGAGCAAAGCAACAGTGCCTGGGGCTTGGCTTTGCTTCCTGGCCCTTCCCCATGTACTTTGAACCAGTAACTCACTCAACCTCCCTGGGCCTTAACTTCTTGTTCTCTAAACTGAGGACCACGTGGGAGACCTGGATTGGGTTCCTGGATCCTGGCTTCAGCCTCCAGCTAGAGACCACCACGGGCATCTGGGAAGTAAACCAGATGGGAGCTCTCGGTCTGTACGTTTCCTTCTCTCTCTCTCGCTGTCTCTCAAATAAATCAGATGTAATTTGATTTTAAAATACTTGGAAAAATTGCCATCTGCACTGAGCCTATACAGACTTTTTGAAACAATACAGTGGAGCCAAGAATGCCTTCCCACTAATCATGTTCTGTAAAAATCAAATAAGAATTATGAAAGACACCAAACACAGAACCAACCCCCGGTGGATATCAGTGCAGACTGCAGGCTCTTTTTGGGTAGCAACCACGTCTTAATCATCTTTGTTCCTATCCCTTGCCCAAGACGAGACTTTGAAGTGTTCAGCGGTTTGTCCGTTTGAACACATCCAGATACATGATCTACATTCACATCTCTGCCACTGCGGACATCAGTTACACGGAGCTTGAAAAGAAAAATTGGCAACTGTGATTCTTTCCGGACCATCTGCCTTCGTGCGTCCACCGATCAGTAACGCGCCGGCACCCGCTCTTCCTGACAGTAATCAGGTACGTGCTGTTTAACCAAAGCGCCTTAGCAGTGTGGCATGGAGGCGATCGGTGTGTACTCACGGCCCAGCTCCTCCAAATCCAGAATCTGGGCCCGAGTCTGGCTTTACCCTGTGATCGCTTTTATCATCTGCTTAGCTCACTCAGAGACCCTGGACTGAGCACCAAATTCAGTAGCAATGCCACAAGTCCGTCTCACCGACCAACTTCTAAACAAATCTCTTTTTTAAGCAGGAGCTAGGTCCCAAGGGAGGTGAGAAAACGCTTTGCCTCCTTGTGTTGTTTGTTTAAAGATTTATTCATTTGAAAGTCAGAGTTACAGAGACACGAGATCTTCCATCTGCTGGTTCACTCCCAGTTGGCCACAATGATTAGCTCTAGGCCAGGCTGAAGCCAGGAGCCAGGAGCTTCATCCGGGTCTCCCATGTGGGTGCAGGGGCCCAAGTACTTGGCCTATCTTCCTCTGGTTTCCCAGGTACCTCAATAGGGAGCTGGATCCAAAGAAGAACAGCCAGGACATGAACCGGTGCCCACACGGGATGCCAGCATCATGTGCAGAAGTTTTACCCACTACATAGCACCGGCCCCTGTGCCTCCTGTTAGGATGACTATGGTCCCACCATTCAAGATGGTGGTCCCTGGCCATGCACAGCTATTTAAGTTTAAATTAAACTTACAATTCAGTCCCACGATCACACTAGCCACATCGCTGGTGCCCACGGTCCACCTCGGGCTGGTGGCTACCATCCTGGAGAGTGCAGATACAGAAAGTTCTAGTGGTCAAGTGCCCTATGGAGCACCAAGCGGAGGGAGCCATGAGGTAGGCACTGAGGAGGTGTGGGCTTGTCGGATCTGATTCACACCTTTATCAATCAGCTCAGGTGCACACAGCCTGCCCGGCTCAGCAAAGCAGGTATAGAAAAGGAACAACAGCAAGGCAGTCTTACAAAAGAAGGAGACCGATGGAGATGTACTCAAGTGAGGCTCAAGAGGAGAGAGGCTGCTGCCCAGGGATCTCTTCGGAAACTCATCACATCACGGCAAAGCCTCATCTGGCAACGCTGCCTGGGACATATTCGCGCCAATACAGTTGAACTTGACCCTAGTTCCCCGTCAGTGCAGTGCTAACTGCCACACAACAGTAGGAAGCAGAAGAGCAGAGAAACAAGCTAAACGACACCATGAGGAAGCAAAAAGCCAAATCTACAATGTGAGACCGTCCACAGGAACCGAGAGAGGAGTAGCTGGCAGAGAGAAGCAGGGAGTCCACCCTGGGTGACAGGAAACAGCCCCCATGGTCTGAGGACTTGGTTCAAACATTGATTTGGACAAAATAATTTTACATACATTTCTGAGTCGATCAGAAGAATGTAGCTATAGGGACTGCATAGCAGATAATCCTAAGGAATGCCTGATGGCTTTGTTACATGTGATAGTAGTATCATGATTACATGCATTATGATTTTTTTAAAGATTTATTTATTTGAAAGGCAGAGTTACAGAGAGGCAGAGGCAGAGAGAGAAGGTCTTCCATCCTCTGGTTCAGTTGCCAGATGGCCGCAACAGCTGGAGCTGTGCCCATATGAAGCCAGGAACCAGGAACCTCTTTGGGTCTCCCATGCAGGTGCAGGGGCCCAAAGTACTTGGGCTATCTTCTGCTTTCCCAGGCCATAACAGAAAGCTGGATCAGAAGTGGAGCACCCAGGACTTGACGGGCACCCATAGGAGATGCCGGCACTGCAGGCAGCGGCTTTACCCACTGTGCCACAGCGCCAGCCCCAGATTTTTTTTTTTTAAGACCAGTTTTCTGAGAGATGCAAAATGAAACCGGTTGAGGGGAAATGACAGTGTCTGGGCTTTACTTTAAAATAACAGAGTCGATAAAAACAGAATTAAAACAAAAACACCACCAATGTGCATTTTAAGTGAATTAGGAGTTGCACTGTAGCTTCCATGGGTGTCTCATTCGAGTTATTCTTGGAGTGTCATTGATGAGACGGGTGAGGCCTGCACAGATCTGCTTTGGCCCAACACTGATTTATCCACTTGATTGCCTGGAGATGGGGCGCCGGTGTGCTCTCTCTCCAAGTCTAGATTACGGCAGGGAAGCCCTTCTTTCTTTCTTTAACTAATCGACGTGGACCATGTGCAGGGTTCGCCAATCAGTCTCCCGAACAAGCTACCCTGCGTGGCCTGCACTGAAGCTTGCCCTGCTAACGACGGATGCTGCCCGATGCCGCATCCCTGACGCACGTGGACCTCTCTGGAAGACAGCCTGACATTGTCTAGCAAAGTGCACGGACAGCCCTGGACCTGGCAGCCCCTTGTGTATCTGCAGAATGACACATAGGCATAGGCATTGCGGCATCCTGTGCTGGAAACAAAAGACTGAACTACTAAATGTGCAGCACTGGGAACTGCTTAAGTAAACACTAGGGTTTACATTATGGTTTCCCATGGAATACTCGTCTGGCTTTACTCTCATGGAAAAGTTCCTTCTGTAGTACAGTCTATG